GCAGCACATTGAAAATCAGTTTCAAGCAATAGTTGCACTCGCTGCAAATAATAAGGATGCAGCAACTGTTCCTTTAAATGCTATTTCGCGTGTACTATTTTGTGGAATTGTCTTCTTTGAAATGGAAGATTTAGTTTCTATAGCAGTAATATGGTTCAAACCCATAAATAGGTATCATGTCACATTATTCTAACAATAACTGTTCTACAATGACTGGCCTACACTATTAATCGGTGATGTATTACTGAATTAGTTTTTTGAACTGTACAAGGTTAAAAAAATAAACAGCTACTAGAGATTGCCTTTTAACATAAATACCCTGTATCACATTTAATCCAACCTAACAAATAAACAATACATATGAGCAAAAAAATACAAAACAAATACTAGACTGATACTGGTAATCACCAGCTGATTGATTGCAGCGTTACGAACCGTATTTTCGTACCAGGGCCGGAACTGAATTTACCAGTACTTTCCACTACCCTTTTTATACTGTTCTATCACCTTCTTCAAGCTCAGCACATAATTCTATTACACTCTGTATACATATGTACATCCACAACTAGATTCACTTAAAATTATGTGAGATTTAATGTAACAGCTTACCTTAGCTACCATAAGAAGTACTCTTTTTCTGATGCCATCATAAAACGAAGGGCTCCGCGGCCGGAATTCATGAAACATGACGGATACTAGAACAAAACAACTTTTATTTATATAATGATGCTACAAAAAAGAATTCTATTGTAACACAATTACACAGGCGTTAACTTCTTGTTCAGTTTTTTGAAAGATAAGCAGTAAGTAGAGGCTCAAATAAGTATATCAAGAGACATTAATCGGTACAATCTAACTGAGGATGGTACCTTGGGTGTCAAAACGCGTCTTAAGTAACTAAACGGTTTGTGGAATTTCGGATATTTTAATACAGTAAAAGCTCTTTTTAATCGCGAGGTATACGTTCCATAAATATGCCGCGAATGCAAAAACCGTGGATATGGAGTGGTAATTAGTATGGAATCACAGGAGATACGTTCTAAGGTTCCACAATAAAACCAATATGTATCAGAATAAAATCAATTTATTGAGAAATTCGCAATTAAAATTAATCGTTATAATCAGCTTTAGACAAGGGTTTAAAAAATTTGGTGATTTTTTCTTGTTTTGAATTTTGAATTAGTCCATTCGGTTACATCTTTTATAAAAGTTACGTCGGCACGAGTCAACAGTACCTAAAAAAAAATAATACCGAATCCTTTTTTGTTTACTCGGTAACATATTTTAGCTGCCTCGGCACGTACATACTTAAAAGATGCTGATACATTAAGGAGATTCAGTAGTACATGCGCCGTTGAGTAAGAACGTGCTTATCAGTTCTAGATATCATGAGTTTAATCTTTTGACCAGAGGTTTGAAATTTTGTAGTAAGATGGATAAAGCTTTATTCTAAAGCTTATCGAGGGCCATTTTTGACGTGACAACGTCTTATAATTCGATGGAGCCGGCTCCACGCACGGAAAAACATGACTCATGCGGCGTTACCTCGCTCTGAGGCGTTCCATTTAAGGCTTGAAGTGCAAGCGAGAGCGCGGAACGAGCGATAAAGATCGGCCTCCGCGTTCGGCAGCGTTCGACATCTGTCTCTCTCCTATTTGAGTAAGCGATGCGTCCGCGTGGACAGCTGCTATACAATAATACATTTACATTTACCTCCTCTATATCCATACAAAATATCTATTAAACAAATAAAATTAAAATTTTCTTTTGAAAAATGAAACCATTCCATCAGTATTTTCTTATGACGTTGTCACGTTCAACTATCGTCAGTAAACCGACTTTACAGACAACCGATTTTTTAATTTATTAATTTCTCTTGAAAATACGTGACCTACAAGAAGCATCAACTTTAAGCAGTTATAAAAGCTTGTAATGACCATATTATTGAAAACCAAAAAGGTATCGAGTTAGTGTGAACCTCTCTATGTCTATTACAATACAAAAAATCGGATATTTATCTCGTAGCGTTAAATCACAATGTTCAGAATAGAAATCCAGAAAGTTCAATTCTGTTTACCGATTGCAACCGCGAATAATGAAATTTTTAACCGCGAATACAGGATCTGGGTTGCAATTTTTTCACCCGCGAATAGGGAACTTTTACTGTGTTTATTTAGTAATATAAGTTCCACAGTACTCCAATCAATTTTCTTATATCATATACGTAAATACAAAACATTAAAAATAAAATTCCTTTCTTTCCTTAAAGAGAGCTGACAGTGCTAAGTATGCGAGTACCTTTTTAAAAGAAGAAAACTCGAGCAATGAAAACTGTAAGTCTATTAGATTCGAGACACCTGTTAATATTCCTTATTTCACCCCATCTTTTCTACTAAGTTCTGACTCCATCTCCGTCTGTTTTTACAAATCTCGACCAATTAGACTCGTACGTAATTAGAAAATTCAGGTTCGAGAGAATGACGTTCACTACTTCTAGAGAAGATAGAATTTAATCGAAGCAAGATTTTGGAAGGGCGATGAAGAAGACGACGAACACAAGAAGTAGAATAAGATGCAGCAGCGCGTCTCGCCGCCGAAGAGAAAAATCACTGCCAAGAGTATATTTTCCTTGAAGGAAGTGCTGCTTTTCAAACTGTCTCCTGTAATTAAAGGGGGGTTTGAAACTAATCCCCTTACCTCCTGACGGCTGTCGGTTACCGGTTAGCATACATCTACCCAAGGCGAGCTCCCAGCTTTCTACGTTAGTCACATTAATTAAAGAGAAACGTTTCCGATACTACGCTAAAGATTTTATCGAGTGGTCGTTTTGGAATACCTATTCTTCTTCATCATCACCGTCATTTTCTTCTTATTCTTCTTCTTCTTTCTAATATTAGTCTACCGACGCCTCATTAAGGGCAACGAACTCCATCTCTTTCTGACGGTGAATATGTTTTCGTAAAATATTTGCCGCGCTCTTTCATTCTTTTCTGTTTTAAACAGTTTCTCTCTTTCAGATAGGTACTTTATTACCTTTTCACGTGAAGGAATTGATAGAGGAATTTAAGAATTCATTTCCTTTCCGTAATTTTTCCAAGGCAAGTCTATTTTTAGGAGAATGGTAATTATCATCAGCGGTGAATAAATCAGTGGTGTATAAATTATATACTCAGTTACTCTTGAAAACAAACAGTAAAAGCTAATCAGCATGCATTCTAATACGCACCATGGACTAATGTTTTTCTTTGCTTTTAAGTACTTAATAAGAAATGATTTTTCAAAATTTGTAACAGTGTTTATTCCACTTTGAAGAAAATTTACAAAGGTCTTTCCCAAAGTAAGGATTTATATAATTGTACTTAGTGATAGTCTGACTCCCCGATACCAAATGAAATAAAGAAGTACAACTTTCTAAGATAAGACTCTGTAAAGCTTTCTGAGCTTTTAAATAAGACAACAAACAATTTTTAACTGAAAAACTTAAAATTAATCTTTTAATTAAAAATATGTCATTAGGAGTAAGTATCTATATATTTTTTCGCATTTGTTTTAGACATTTAGTATTATATTATTTAATATTATAATATTATATAGATTTACTTTCGACCCTTGATAATGACCGTGTGGCTGAAATTGGTTAGGATTTTATTAAAGTGGTAAAATTTTCTACCTTGTTTTATGTTACATTTTATGCCAATAAGTATGTTTCACAACATCTGAACCCCCCAGTACTATCTTTTAGTACACGTTCTGCCATGTTAACCATAAAACAACGTGACTCAATGTTCTCAGCGGTAGTCTAATACGACCTAACCTAACCCTCCAGACAAAAATTAAGCTAGATCGTTACTGAAAACAAAAACTTAGTGAATTTGTTACAAAAAAAACCTTTTTAAAAATATTTCATTTCCGGCTCCAATATGTTGTTTAAATATTCCAGAAGAATTCACTCATCATTATAAGGTCGTCAGTCCTCAGACTGGTTGGGCACCCACCTCCACTCATTCCTATCCTGAGCTAACCTTTGCATTTCTCTAAAACTAGAACATCCCACATCCTTAACTATTTGCGAACAGTAATATAGTCTAACTCTCCTAACTCCTGTTTCTGCTTTCAATATGTCTCTGACTAGACCTTAATGCCTGAAAAGGTGTCATATCAACTTATACCTCCTATTTTTTATTGACTTCCATAAAGTCCTCTGTGTTCCTATTCTTTTTAATATTACTTCATTTCTAATCTTCTTTATCAACGGTATTCTCATTATTCGCCTGTAAAACAACATTTCGAACGCTTCTAGCTTTTTCTTCCCCCCACACCCCGCATACCCTCCACGTTTCGCACCCGTACAGCGCCGCGCTCCTAACATGCACCTGTAACAACCTTTCTTGAATTTCTAAATTGATCGTTCGTGAGCATAGAACTGACTTTTTTTATTGAAGGCTACTCGAGCCGGCACTGTCATCTGCTTTATATCCCTACTGCTCCTTTCGTCCTGACTTGTCTGACTTTCTAAATACCGAAAATCAGCCACATCTTCTTATTTTTCGTTTCCTATCTTTATATTTGCTCTTTCCCTACTTTTTTATCCCTTGCATACCAGTATTTTACTAATTTAATTTTTTTGTTTATTTTCATACAATACTGTTTTGTCTATACCGCATCCATTTTATTTCAGTTATCTCAAACTCCTCCTTCCTGGATCATCTGCAAATCTAAGCATACTAAACTTTCACCCCTGTCTTTCTTTTCATTAGTTAAAATTTTGTTGTATATATTAAAAGCTAATAGATAAACAATTACCATATTATTGTAAAGTTCCTTTAGTTTTCCTAAAAAATGATAGACTTCTACCAAAAAATATATTTCCGTTACATGGGCTATCTTTACACAGTGTATTACTGTTTCTGTTACTTTTACATAAAATAACTGAGTTTGCAGTAATAACAAATAGCTAGTGGGAATAGCAAGTGTTTTATATATTATTTTAATTATTCCAGGCCGTGGAGAGAAGGGGTGAGATGATAGTTCGCATCCTGGACTCCCGTCAACTGGGCAGGGCAGCGGGGGAAGCAGCGAAACGCTTCCTGGCGATGCAGGATGCCAAACACACGGTACAATTTGTCGAAATTGTAAAACGTCCGGGTCAAACGTTGGGACTTTACATTCGGGAAGGCAACGGCATCGACAGGAACGACGGCGTTTTCATATCACGGATAGCCCTCGAATCTGCCGTATACAACAGTGGTTGCCTTAAGGTAACTATTCTTATTTTACTAGCAAATTAACTAAACATATACGTATATAAGTGAGCAAATCTTTGCCTTCCGTGGCCAAAAACGAAAAAAAAAACTTCACGACAAAAAAAGAATGTAAAAACACTTTCTTTTTATGAAAGTTTAGAAATTCCATGCAGCCAAAGAAATCAGTTACTACCACACAGAAAAATGCTGTAAGAAAAATTACTATAACGTTGTAGAGGGCGTTTTGTAGAAAATGCAACTCAAATTTGTAGTAAGGTTAACTAATGCTAAACTTAAATTTGACTATAAAATTATAGTGGTAAATTGTAGGAGAAATATCGACAGACGAATTCCTTACAATTTGAATGAAATATTTACAACTTCGTCAATTTCATTACAAAATGTAATAAGATTAAATAAGTTATAAAGATAAAATGTAGCAATTTTTATTGAATATTTATTTGCGTTTCAGTACAAATATGCTACAATTTTGTATATTTTTTTAATTATTGTATAGAGATATGCTACAATGAAAAGTAATTTTTAAGAGGAATTTGCAGTACATATTCTTTAACGTTGTAGTAGAAAGACAAACAGTTTGTAGGAAAAGTAATTACAATATTATATTAATTTTCACTACAACTTGTTTTTGTCCCTATATTCGCTACTAGTTGCAATGAAAAGTTCTACAATTTGCAGATATCAGGTGTTAAAGATACTTAAAAATATTACTCGCTTTTCTTAAAATCTGAGTAACTACTGATTTTTATATAACGTTTCATCGAATTTTGTTAAAAATGAATAATTAACACTGCCAGACACTTCCTATCGGCGGTAATTTCTGTCAGACGCTTCACAGTTTGTAATTTTAATTATAGTCTTAGTCTTTATTTTTAAATGTGATACTTAAGGAACTATTTCAATACTTTTTGAAAGCAGAAAGCAGGGGCTAAACATCACCCAGACGCAATTAAAATGTCGCTGTGTTATAGTCATCTTTGCGCTTACTCCTACAGCGACAATTTAATTGTGTCTGGGGGATGTTGGGCCCCAACAATTTGTCTGACTGCTTATCAAAAATACTGAAATAGTTCGTAAGTATCATATTTGAAAATGAAGACTTAAAATATAAGTAAAACTACGATTCTTTTTTTGCCAAGTTTGAAGCGTGTGGCAGAAATCACTGCCGTTGGGACGTCTGACAGTTTTTATTAATTTTTAACAATATTCTGTGAAACATTATGTCAAAATCAGCAGTCAGCAATTACCAAGTACACATACAAGTATATATACACTGAAAGTTCCTACTAACACTTGCTTTATTAGTTTACCTAAATGTCTAGAAAATAATTAATAGATAAAATTAATGTTATTCTAAACAACCAAACTGAAAGGAATTGGTTCCCACTTTTAAACTTATTGTGAATGTCTATCTATCCTACCACCCTATACTGTAGTATAGGTGTAAGAAAACATGTCTGTATTAAGAATAGTGATGAGCAAAGGTACAAGTATTTGAGCAAGACCAAGAGTACAACCAAGATCGAATAGGTAAGACCGAGACCAATACCAAGGCTGGGACAGTCTTGGGCTTGGTCTTGCTTATTCGATCTTGGTTGTGGTCTTGGTTTTGCTCAAATACTTCTAGTATTAGTCTTGATCTTGTTCTTGTTGATACAGTCTCGGTCTTGGTCTTCGTCTTGCTCATTTAATCCGATACTTACCCTTTTTTTTTTGAACATACATACAATTTAGACATACTTTAGAAGTGAGTTAGTTTAATATGAAATATTATTCTAAAAATTGATTTCTGAATTTTTACCCACTACACACTACCTACCTAAAATTAATAAGGGAAAAATTGTTGCTGTTATCACACCCCCGCCGGGGTTTTGAATAATTCTTCTAGACACAAAGGTTTTTATTTATCGACACAATAATTTTCTTAAATACTGAAATTTTCGAACGTGCGAGCGTGTCATGACTTCTAAAGAAAATAGTATCGATAATTGTGAGGGTTGCGAAAACTCAACAACATATCCTTCCTTCAATGTGTAAATCGACCCTTCTTCCAAAGCATTAGTAAACAAAACAGTACAAGGTACTTAAAAAAAGTAAAAAAAAAATAGAAAAAATTAGTTTGTCTCTATATTTCAACCATGTGATATCCAGACGAGAACAAAGAACACTTCCTCCGAGAGACATTTCCGTAGATCCCTTTTTTCAAATAGCGGTATAGTTTTCTTTTTATATTTAGTGTTAAATTCTAGTAAAACAAAGTGAAAATTTCAAATACTAAAAATGTTTTGTTCCAAGAAAAGAATTTGTTAAAATTGCCTCAAATAGTTTAACTCATAAATTCCCCTGAAGTAATAACTATTCGTTTAGTTTTACGTATTTGGTCTTGGTTTTGCATATTCGATCTTGGTTTTAGTCTTAGTCTTGGTCTTACCAGTATAAAAACAGTCTCGGTAATGGTCTTGCAGTTTCGCAAGACCAAAACCAATTTTGCTCATCACTAATTAAAAAATCATTAAGGATGGTGTGATCTAACAGTCTAATAAATCATTTGGTTTTGTTTTGGCCACTAAAATAAAGATTCCTTTAAATCAGTACAATCTTTCTATAAAACCATTAACGTTATTAATGATGTTATGAGAAGTTTTAGTACGAATGCCCTATCATTTTCGAAATCAAACAGATGGACAAAGATATACTTATAAAGTTTCATTTCATGGATTTACTCGTAGTGAAATTATAATCGTTTTTGATGGGCATTTGTGCAATTTTTTGTTACCGTCAATGCCGACGTCTGTTACGAACAGCACATGATAAGAAGCTTTAGTTGCAAAAGCATATTCAGTCGTGCCTAGCCATCTGGATGAACAAAACAAAAACAAAAGAGGACGTAACGGTTTCGTTTCATGGACGTCTGCTGTGTACAAGCTAAGCCCTTCGAGCGAACATGGACTGGTATTTACGTTTTCAAGAGTAAAAGCAGTTTTTGCTCGTTCATAATTCTACATGCGGTACTCTTTTACCTCTTGTTTTTTCGTACGAGAATTTTTCTATTAACAAAATAGTTTCATCGTAAAGTTGCCCAGGAAATGTAGTTTATAGAGATTTTATCGTGAATAAAAAGTATTTGATACGAGAAAGCTTAATTTATAATTTATCTACTGAATATTAAATATTAATATAAAAGAAATTATGAGTGCTGTCGGCACAGGGGAATGTAGTATTACGTAGTTAGTATCAGCAATTTCTTATGCTTAAGTGTACAATGTGTTGCATACCTATTCACTAACAATTCCTTTAAATTTAATTTTTCAAACAATTTTCAACACAAAGAAAGTGATTAAACAAATTGCTCACAAAAATAAATTTCGACCACTCGAAGCAATAGTGTTAACAATTTCGAGCTCACAGTGACTAATGGGGGCCAAGAACTTGTAGTAAAAATTGTACATTTGCTAAGCATTGAAGTCTTAAGAATACTCTGCATCCTATATATAGGACAAACAGGAAGACATCCAGAAACACGGTCAAAAGAACATACAAAAGACGTAACAGACATCATGCACAATAGGGAAACAGATAGTATAATCACCAAAATATATTCCTAAAATTACCATAAAAAATATAAGAAAGCACATATCTATTATCACAAATAACACAAGGAACTTCAGATGCACCCAATTATTAAAATAAATTAGTACTCCAACCTTCCCGCCTTTAAAAAAAAATTATTTCACTGTATCAAATGTAATCAGTCATTGTTGATAAGAAAATCTCATCCAATTAGGTGTAAGCTGTGATATGATAGACTTATAGCTATTTTCATTGTAATTAATCATGTCAGTCATTAATGTGACTTCGAAAACTAAGATCAGAGATGCCATTTTCGACCTCATTAGGACATCTTAAAAACGATCAAAACAACGAAGAATCTCTTTGACGAACAATTCGATCAGTTCCAAATAAATAAGCCCACCTTGGCTTTCATTGCTAATCTTCTCAAAGCAAGCAGCCAAGAACTAAATTTTACTCCATTTAATATCAATGCTGGTTCATTTGAAATCGAATTACTAGATTTAAAAACCAAGGATTTTGAACATAATAATTTGAAATAATGGTTGAAACAAAGGCATTTTCTCATGCAAATTTTCTCAGACCTAAATGACCATTTGTCTGAAATGTACCTAAATAGATAGTAGAATAGAAGATTCGGGCTATAGGGCCGTCGTCTAAGTGAACTATTCTGTCCAGACGTTTCGTCAGCTACTGCGGCTGCATCCTCAGTGGTAGTGCTGCGTTGACAACGGCTCTATAGCCCGAATCTTCATTCTACTATGGATTCCGGCCGTGAAAGCCTTTGTTCTTATTTCAGGCTTTACGTAAAGTATTTTTTAACTAAAAGGTTAAAAAAAAGTACTCAGCATAAAAATAAAGTATTTTATTTTTTGTTTTTAAAAACATATTTTTTGTTACACCTAGCAGCCAGTAACAAATTGCTTTCACTCCCAAATACATTAATAGTCTCTAAACAAGGCAAACAAAGATTTAAGTAAACAAAAAGTTCATTTTTAATTAGTTTTTATGAAGCTTTATTCGTGTCGTCCTGCCACTTTGCGTTCATAACACAGAATACTCTTTCCGTAAATGCTGAAGTGGCCGGAACGGACAGCAAAAGTGACACTACTTTAAACAGATTTGGGAAATCAGGTTGTTCCGTAAATATGGCTTACCATTTTTCTGTGCAATATTATTGATGTAAAAATACTTTGAATTTCGAATAAGCGCTTACAAAATTAAGATGTCTACTTAAGGCCTTAAATAAAGTATTTTTGCGTACTTTATGTGTCTTGTAAAGTATAACGTACGCACAGTCGAAATAGAGTACAATACTTTATAATAAAGTACGGGTGACAACCCTATTCTTATGTTGTATATAGATACCCGCTAAATAAATAACCGAATATAAATACAAGTCACTTATTACACAGCCTGTCCAA